TCTCCTCATGGAAAGATGGTGGCCGGAGCAGAAGGTTGTGGGCTTGCACAATGTGCCAGAAACCTCCTCGAGCAGTTCAACCTCTGGCAAAGGCGCTCCGAGCTCCCCTTAGGGCCGATATTTTTACTCCATGAAATTTCCACATCCTCCACACGCTTTCCTTTTGGAAGCTATCAGGGGACATGCAATCGCTGTTCTTTCTATTTTGGATTTTTTTTCCATCCGTAGACATAAATCCTTCCCTTTCCCCCTCTGCACAGTTGGAGATTCTGGCAGAAGGAAATCTGAGAGGGTTTTTTGGCAGTGGGTTTCTCCTGTCTATCATTTTTTACTATAAGAATGACGTCTGACCGCCTCACATGCTGAAATGGGTGGAAATTTTCCACCGGGTTTTTCCTCAGTAAAACTCCACAGGCCAAGGCACAGCGAGAACTCCTTTGGGTGCCAGGTGGGGAGGGCTGGGAGAGACCCTCAGCGAGGGTTACGTGGATGAGGCGCCTTTGCTCCCACCGACTCAGCCAAACTCCAAACCTTTGCTGATCCCCGGAGAGCGGATGGCAGGATCCAGACCTGGAGGACATCAGGCACTCAGCAGAGACCCAGCACTTACTGTGTGCTTTGAAGCTGGAGCAGAGCTTGGCAGGAGCAGGGCTCCACGCCCGCGTGCCCTACAGGAACGCTGGATAAAAAAATAACCCCTGGAACCCGCTGGAAAAATCCTTTCCACGGGCTCAGTCCCAGCAGGGCAGAGAGGGCAGAGCCTCACCTCCCCAGGCAGCAGGCTGGGCCAGCACAGGGCTCTGCCAGGGCCCTGCCCTGAGCCAGGGAGCCCATTCCAAGGCAGGAATGAGCAGCTCGGGTGCCTCCACAGCCGTGTGGGACCAAGGCTCTGCAGGAGGACACAAACCCAACTCGCCAGCCGCAGGCTGGAGCTTCTGGTTGGAAGGACAGAAAGCCAGCAGCGGCATTCTGCGCTCAGGAAAGCGTGACCCCACCTGTAGGTCGTTCAGGATGCGAGCGTCCCGTGTTTACTTTTTCCCTGGGCTCAGGATAAAGTGTTATATTGACACAAGCAATTGGAGAAGTTCCGTAATTTAATCTGCGCCATTAAAATTTCAGGCTCCGCGGGAGAAGCAGCCCTGCCTGTTCATCAGGTCCAGCGAAATTCAGGTGGCAGCCGGTGTCACCTTTCCACCGACGCCACAAACGCCGCGGCACCGGGGGCACGGGGGGCAGGAATTCCGGGAGAGCACGCTGGCCCGCGCTGCAAACACACGTTAATAATTCAGGCCATTCTGTTTTGGGCTGGGAACGCGCAGCCCCTCACCTGTACTGCTGAAGGCAATGCCCAAAACAGAAACTCCTGTAGGAGGAGTGCTGCAGTGCCAGCACCCCAGGGGCAGTGCCAGCACCCCAGGGGCAGTGCCAGTGGCCCCAGGGGCAGTGCCAGCCGCCCAAGGACAGTGCCAGCACCCCAAGGGCAGTGCCAGCACCCCAGGGCAGTGCCAGGGCCCCAGGGGCAGTGCCAGCACCCCAAGGACAGTGCCAGCGCCCCAGGGCAGTGCCAGGGCCGCAGGGGCAGTGCCGGAACCCCAAGGACAGTGCCAGCACCCCAGGGGCAGTGCCAGCCGCCCAAGGACAGTGCCAGCCGCCCAAGGGCAGTGCCAGCACCCCAAGGACAGTGCCAGCCGCCCAAGGACAGTGCCAGTGGCCTGGCAGGGCTGGCACTGCAGGGACAGCCTTGGCACAGTGTGCCCTTCCCTGTGTCCAGCGAGCCTTGGCCGGGCTCTGAGCCCTCCCCAGACTGACGGACGCTGCTCTCTCCCAGCCGGGCAGGCAGGCTCCGGCACAGGAGGGATTTTCCAGGAATGCCAGGGAGGGATTTTCCCGGGAATGCCGAACCCCCGGCCAGCTCTGCCGTGGCCCTGCTGGCACTGCCCGTCCCTCGGGACACCACACGGTGCCGGGGCCCTGAACAGTTCGGTTCTGCCGCAGGCCGGCCCTGCGCTGTCCCCTGAAGGCACGGCTTTATTCAGATTGCACCTCAGATCCTGGAAGCTGCAGGAACAAATCTTTCAGGAAATTATCCCGCCTTAAGCGCCGGCTCTCGGAAACGCATCATCTGACTTTCTGGGAAATTGCAAGGGCCGTGCTGTCAGAAAACACGAGTGGCAGGACTGTGCTTCTCCTGCCCAGGCTGAGGTCACCGCCCCAGGCTGACTGCCCTTCCCTGCCTGGTGCTGTCCTGCGCCAGCTCCCCAGTGAATCCTTTGAAAAACTGCATTTGGTGATGTTTGAACCGGCAGGGAGAGCAAGGACTGTCCCGGAGCACTGGGATTCCAGGCACGGCATCTCTCTCCACAGGCAGAACTCCTGGCACACCCCACACCACCGAGGGCCTGCAGCTCTGCAGTGGGGTGCAAGCACCACTGAGCTGCTCCTCACACGAGTTACCACACACCAGAGCAGCTGCGTCTCCTCGACTCCTGCATCTGCAGCAGCGCCTTCCTAACACAGCAGAGCACGACCTGGAACGGTCAGAAACCGCCAGCAGAGACAAACTGGGGGCTGTTAGCTTTGTAAAACAATTAAAATAAAAGGGAAGGGAAGGAAAAACCCCAACAAGAGCAAGCCAAGACGTTAGCCACGCGCTCCCTCAGCCAAGTGCTGAGATCCATTGGTGGCAAGGCAAGGGGAGAGCCAGAACAGCCCAGTCCAATCTCCTCAGGAAGCTGCTGGTGCTGAAACGGCACCGTGGGGCCCAAAGTGTGAGACACCTGCTGCAGAACAATGACTGCTCCTGAAGGACACAGTGTGGCATGGTGTGATGGGAAAGGTGTGCTAAGGGAGTTACCTGGGATGGGAAAGGTGTGCTAAGGGAGTTACCTGGGATGGGAAAGGTGTGCTAAGGGAATTACCTGGGATGGGAGAGGTGTGCTAAGGGAACTACCTGGGATGGGAGAGGTGTGCTAAGGGAACTACCTGGGATGGGAAAGGTGTGCTAAGGGAATTACCTGGGATGGGAAAGGTGTGCAGCAGGAACTACCTGGGATGGGAAAGGTGTGCTAAGGGAACTACCTGGGATGGGAAAGGTGTGCTAAGGGAGTTACCTGGGATGGGAAAGGTGTGCAGCAGGAACTACCTGGGATGGGAAAGGTGTGCAGCAGGAATTACCTGGGATGGGAAAGGTGTGCAGCAGGAACTACCTGGGATGGGAAAGGTGTGCAGCAGGAGTTACTGTAAGCCTGAGTCAGTCTCCAAGGCAAAGGATGATGTGACAGCAGCCAATTTTCTGTGGCTGACTGCAAGCATTCAGCCTTTCTGTGTAAGAAAAGGGATTAATCAGATTTTTCGTTTTCAGTGCCGTGCATCATCACTCCCCATCCTCCTGACTCCAGCAATGACTTGTCACCTGTCAGCACGGGCTCTGCTGGCACAGGCAGCCCTGGCTCTGCCCCAGCTGTGCCTCAGAGGGGGCAGCTGTGCCACGCTCACAAGCAGGGTGTGCGGGAGCACAGCCCCCTCCTCCAGCCTGCTTCCTCATTTATGTGTTTGTTTGTCCACTGCACCTTCCCCCCAGAGCCCCTCCTGCTCCTGCGGGCTCGGGGCCATCCCGGGGCTGCAGGAGCTGGGACTGCCCTGTCCCCAGTGGGATGGATGTGGCTGAGCCTTGTTGACCTGTTGCTCCAGTGACCTCAGGCCTCTGCAGCACAAACCATCCCTGAGAGGGCTCAGAGGAAGTGAGATGTGGCAGTGCTGTGTTTTCTGCCTCTAGCAACAATAATTCTTGTGGCATTTGATTTTCTATGCTGATTCGTGGCTGAGAAAATGATTTCTATGTGATGTGTAAACTGGTTTTTAAGTACTTTTGTTAAAAACCAAGACGTGTATATGCAAGTCATTTCCCTGAAACCACTTGTTTTTGGTTTAGGACCACAGCCTGCTTTGAAACTTCCTCCAGTTTGCTTTTTCACCCAGGAATTTTACTGAGAGCATCTGATGGCCTTTAACTGAAACCCTGCTGGCTCTGCTTCTGGGACGGATTGTGCCTTTGCCGTGTAACTACGAGCCTGCTCTTTTACCTTCCCCGTGCACAGAGACAGCACGTATTGCCTGCACACTTACGTATTTCTACACTTACAAACCCCGAGTGTTTTCTGGAGGAGATCTGCACCGAGTACCGGGGGGAACTCTTTCCCTGGGAGGGTGGGGTGGCCCCGGCACAGGTTGGCAGAGCCAACACGACTCTGATACCGACATCCCTGGCAGTGCCCAAGGCCGGGCTGGAGCAGCCCGGCACAGCGGGACGTGTCCCTGCCGCGGCAGGGGGGGCACTGCAAGGGCTTTAAGCTCCTTGCCACCCAAACCTGTGGTTCAGCGATTCCACCGTAAGTGCAGAGCCTGCCTAGGAGCCAGCTCCCTGCGGCGCCTCCGTCCCAGCTGCCCTGCCCGGGCCATTCCCGCGGCTCTCCCGGGATTCTCCGCTGCGCCTCGCGGGGCTCCCGGCGGGTTCGGGGCTCCCGGCGGGTTCGGGGGGTTCGGGGGGTCCCGGCGGGTTCGGGGCTCCCGGCGGGTTCGGGATGTTCGGGGGG